TATATATATATATATATATATATATACTGTATATATACAGGCAACCCTTGATTTAGTACCCCCAATTCACTTCCACCCTGGCATAGTGCCATAAATGTATATAAAACAAATGTTCCTTGATTGTGATCTTAAGGGAAACCCTGATTTAGTGCCACATAAAATGCCTTATCCAGTTATCCTAGATGAATGTTGAGTCTGAAATGAAAAAAAAAATTGAGAACTTTGCCAGGGAATATCATTGGTTTATCACTGCTTTTCATCATATGTCAATACTCACATAAAAATTCCGGGAAATTTTCATTCTGCAATTTCTAAATTTAGATCATCAAAAATTTTTTTTTTTCATCCAGCGCCTTCCCTTATTGAAGAACGTATAAATGAAGTTTGAGCCTTACTGTGAACATTGGCAATTCCTCAGTGATAGCTCATGATATAAAGCATGATATTGGAAGGTCATGATTTATACTGTAGCAGGAGTTGTCTTCTGTGGAGCGTACCTAAAAGCTGGCAGAAATTAAAATATAGTGGCTATTTTTCTGGCCATTAATGAACATTGCAAAATTTTATCAAAACATTGGTAAGGGAGCAAAATTTCAACCTTTTTTTTTGTGGATGAGTACAGTTCCCTTTAAAGTATAATGTGGGCACAATAATGCAGGAATGATGTTTTCTTCCATATGATCCAAATCTTCAAAGTTTTGAATTTTCACAATACAGTACCCTCAATTTAGGGCCACCCTCAGATTTATAATGCCACTACCATATTCCATTGACCTTAAAATGACTCCCCAAACTAATGAACAAAATCGGAATTCCCTTATCAGATTCAGTGGCCCAAAACACTATGTAAGGATCAAAGTTGTATGTTGATGGGATAATAAGTCGATTCAGAAGAGATTGCAACTCAACTGTATCTCACTTGATCAATTGATTGAAGTATTTGGTTTGGGATGCCCCAGTCAAAGATGTACCAAATCTATAAAAATTAATAGTCTAAACTTGTGGTTATCTCCTTAAGAGTTTGTGTGAGAGAGAACTAGCTCTAATTCTCTACACTGTAAAACTTGGTGTAATTCAACAAATGGAAGCTGAAGTAATATGATCATCTATTATTATAACACAGTAATTAAAAAAAAATTTCTAGAGAGCATTCAAAATAGCCCTGCGATGCATAAATTATATCTTGCAACCTGGATATAATGTTCCCAAGAAGTAAATGTCATTGTTGTCTTTGTGTGCGTGCGTTTTTTTTTTGCAAGACCTCTCAGAGCAAAAAATTATATTTTGTTGGTGGGCTATTGAAGACAACATTAATTGGCAGGCAGGAGCATACATGAGTTGTCAAGAAATTTTAGCAGATTGCGTTTTAACTGGGTTTTCAATGCTACAGTATGTGTTATCATTAGGAAAGATTTGTATTTTCAAAATAACTTGGCATTTACCAAGGGTGGTGGCTTATCTGCATGCTGTTCGACTTCTGTGTAGCACTTGTTCCCACACTTTCAAATATAATCTTTCACGTAGTTGTGTACATGAGAATGTTATGGAATACAGTCTTTAAATTTTTGTATGCATGCGTTTGGCTCGTATTTTTTCACCTCACCAATACATTTGTGAGAACTGAAAACCTTCTGACCATGGCCAAGGTTTTCCACTCATGCGACTACAGCGTACTTGTATAATTTTAACGCAAAAAAAATCCAATGATTTAAATTATTTTGCATTATCTTTCTGTTTTGTTTTTTGAGACATTTTTAATGAGTGTTGCATTAATCCATGAAACGTGAACACCGAACAATGTCTGCAGAAACCAGCATTTATTTTACTTTATATATTGTCAAAAGAAAATGTAGCCAACATTGTTTCAAGCCTCAGATATATCCGGAAAAAGATGGAAAATTATTCGATTTTCTCAATATGGTTCTTGAACTATCTCATCAGTTCAGCATTGAAAGTGGAATACATCGCCCACAATCAGACCGCTTTTATATTCCTCATAAGGCAATGCATTGAAAAACACGCTTCAGAGACCTGGAAGATGTGGTATCGTCAGTAAGAAACATTTTTTCCAAATGCAGTACATCATTTTATCTCCAAATTGAAAGGAAAAAGGAAGTCCCTGTCAATATGTCGCATAACATTTTAGAAGTACAATATTGGGGTGCATTATTATAACTAATTCCAATGTGACATTTCAGACCCATTTTTTATAGAAAAATTTAGTGTGGTAAAAACAATTGACAATTTATTGAATGCAAAGATCTATATTCATGCCTAAATGCAATTTCGGGCATTCTTATTTTTGAAATGTTGCAGATTTTGGGAAGCCCTGCTGAGCAGCTGCTTCTATTAACATACTCAAGGTAATGCATCAACACTCCTGAAGCATCCAGGACAAGACTCCGAGGAGTCGTCATCGCGATATTTCATTGATTTCCCCGCGGTGATGATATGTTCGCTGATCCGACTTATTGGGGAATTTATTCTTTGATCAATGTGGCCAATTTTTCTTTCTGCCGGTTTTTCATCCAACATTGTTGCGTGACTGAATGAGAACGGGTGATGGCGTCGGAAAATGAGAAATAAAAGTGGAGCAGTGTCTCTTTATATAGGTTGGCTGAATTGATTTGTTATCCAAAAACTATTTTACGAAAGTTGGTGATCAACGATGATCAGTCGTTGAGAACTACAGTGGGCCCCCATCTTACGTCATCAATCCGTTCCAGGGTGGATGTCGTAACATGGGGCCGTCGTAAGTTGAGACCCTATTTCCCTTAAGGTTACATTATAAAAAAATTAATTTGTTCTAGAAAAAAAAATATTTAACTAAAATTACCTTTATATTTTAACTTTTTGTCAGAAATTGCATTAATATAGACACAAGACATATTTGAAAGACTGCATAAAACAAAAGTGATAGGGGTAGGTTTGTGAAATGGGGTAGGAGGAGAATGATTTTCACAATTTTGAGCAC